GCTACATTTGGCTGGCATAGATATATACATAACTCACTGTGTAAAGTACCATCAAGTCGCAGCTAACTTATGGTGACCCCATAGGGTTTTCAAGGCAACAGAGATGGTTCGCCATTGCCTTCCTCTGTGTAGTGACCCTGCAGTTCCTTGGTGGTCTCCCATCCAAATACTAACCAGGGTGAACCCTGCTTAGCTTCTGAGATCAGGCTAGCCTGGGCCATCTAGGTCACAATGTGTGTGTATGCACACTCTCTTTCTCTCTCTTTCATTGTTTACCTTGGCAGCCAGGAAAATATTAGCAAAAGCTGTATCTGAAGGGCAAAATGTTTTAACGTAAGTACTGTTAAATCTACTAATTTTAATTATTTATGATTTATGTTTTATCTTCTTGTGATCACTTGTAATGGCTTTTGGATGCATGCAATAAATGCTATTGTATTGTATCACAAACATAAGAACATAAGTGAAGCCAATGTTGGATCAGGCCAATGGCCCATCCAGTTCAACACAGTGGCCAAAACTACCAGGTGCCACCAGGAGGACACTAGAAGCCCTCCCACTGATGCCCCCCCAAGCACCAAGAATATAGAGTGTCACTTGCCCCAGACCGAGAGTTTCTATCTATACCTTGTGGCCAATAGCCACTGATGGACCTTTGCTCCTTATGTTTATCCAGTTTCCTCTTGAAACATACACACAGGACACCATGCATCTGATGGGCTTTAATTCACAAAAACATAGGCTACAATAAATGTGTCTTCAAGATGACACAAGCCTCTTGGTTGTTTTGGGGCACAAAAGTCTTTCCCAGCAATGGGCCGCCACTGGGAAATGTTGTCTGTTGTCTATTCACACAAGTTGATGGCCATGCCCAACAGGTCCACCTTGAGAGTGTATTCTAGAGCACTTCTCCACCCAGAATCATTTGTAACATGCAGGGGTTCATACTGACTGCATGAAGCTGTCATTTGTGGAGGCAGTCCAGTTGCTCTCTAGGGTCTCAGGCAGAGGTCTTTCACATCACATACGGCCTGATCCTTTTTACTGGAGATGCTGGGAGCTGAACCTCGGACTTTCTGCATCCTGATGTTCTACAACTCCACCGAGCCATGGTCCTTCCACTATTATTTGTTCCATGGCAAAGATTCTGGGGGTCCTTAACAGAGAACTCAATGAAGAAAGAATTCCCTGCATGCAGAAAGTTTGGAATGCATTAGTATATGTTATGTTCTACACCTTTCCCATGAAAAGTTTGGATTCCTGGTCAGTATTTATGTAGCCTAGACTTGCCCTTTGGGATGTTCTAGCAACAGAGAAAACAGTTACTGAATTTTCTAGCTCAAAGCAATGCAGGCCTGATCATCTCCCTTGTTCTATGCTCTCTCTGTCATTCACTAAGGATTAAGAGATGTTGTTTCCACTCCCACCTGGCTACCAATCCAATTACATTCAAAGCTGTTAGGGAATTTTCCCTTCAAGACACAATCCTTTTGTTAAGGGGCTATAGTGTATTTATTCTGTTGTGTCATTTAAAATAAGCTCAGGGTTTATATGTTTCTGTGGTTAGTGCTTTCTCCCCCCCCCCTCTGCTTTTTGCATATTCTTGAAGCAGCAGGTTGTAGGGCTTTGTTCAATCCCCCTTCCCCGCACTTTCCTGTACTGGCTGAGCTATGATCTGACAAGTCTTGGGTACATAAGAACAGATCAGACCAGTGTTCTGTCTAGTTCAGCACCCTGTCTCAGATAGTAGGGTTTGCCAGGTCCCCCCTGGACACTGGTGGGGGTAGGTTTGCCCGATGCAGGTTGGGGGAAACTCCTGGAGATTTGGGGGTGGAAACTGGGAGGGACAGGGAGTCCACTCTCCAAAGCATTCGTTTTCTCCAGGGGAACTGATCTCTGCAGTCTGGACATGAGCTGTAATTCCGGGGGATCCCTAGGTCCCTAAGCCAAACAGATGCCCTGAAGAGCTAACATACGGAGGCTTTCCCCTGATGTTGCCTCCCAGCACTGGGTTTCAGAAGTTCCCTGCCTCTGAACAATGAGGTTTCCTTTAGGCACCATGGCTAATAGCCCCTGATGGCCTTGTCTTCCATGAACTTGTCTAATTCCCTTTTAAAGCTATCCGTGGTTCAAACAGGACCAGAACTCCTTGGGTAACTTCAGGTGTGCCACTGTCTTTTCAGGTTCATTTCCCATACACCTTCAATTTGTATTAATAATACTGATCTGCCTTACATGGGTGTTGTAAAGATTACAGAAAGTAATATATGTATAGCAAAAGTGTGATATGATTATTATATTTTGGTGAACTAATTATTCATTTTGTTGCTGCTTGCTTCTGTGATGAATATGAATGTTGGGAGTTTTTTAGATATGAAATAGAAAAACCTAGTTGAATAATTTTTTTTAAAAACCCACCAGATTTCCCTGTACTTTATCTCATGGACATCAGCACTAAACTATCCTTGCAACATTAATTCAGTAATGTATTAATGTAGCATCAAATCCTTTATTTGGAGAACAAGAAAATAGGGTGCTAAAAGCTAGGAGACCATGTCAGAAACTCAATTAGCAGCCTGCTCTCTGCACACAGGCCCCACTGAGTTCAGTGGGACTCACACCCAAGTTACGTTTAGTGCAGTGGTTAAGTGCGCAGACTCTAATTTGGGAGAACTGGGTTTGATTCCCCACTCCTCCACTTGCAGCTGCTGGATAACCTTGGGCAAGCCATAGTTCTGTCATGAGCTGTTCTCTCAAGGACAGTTCTGGAAAGAGCTCTCTCAGCCCCACCTACCTCACAGGGTGTCTGTTGTGGGGAGAGGAAGAGAAAGGGGTTTTTAATCCACTCTGAGACTCCAAGTGAAGGGCAGGGTATAAATCCAATCTCTTCTTCTCTTTTTCTTCTTCTAAGTGTGTATAAAACTACATTGTGCTGCAGTCTGGTCTTGTTCACAGAAAACTCTGCATAGAACTGCAGTCTAAGACAGAAGGGGCACAACCTAGTAATGGAAAGGCTACTGACATACAATATATTGGAAAGCACAGTGGTATATCGTGCAATGTGTCAGACTGAAAACTACTGTGGTGTAGTAGACTGCAGGAGCTGGGATGCGGAGACCTGAGTCAGGATTCTTGCCTTCCTTATAGGCTTGTTGTTAGAAACCCATCCATGCTGCTTTTTGCTCTGTAACAAGGACTCACCACCATTCCATACAAACAACCCCACAGAGCTTTCTCCTTGACATGGGGTCTTTAGTTCACATAAACCCAAACAGCTTAAAAGTAAGGCCTTCACACAACCTATATAAAATTGCCACCTGCTTCCATTCACCCAGTCCTTCCTTGTTATGGAGTGTAATTATATATATTTATAAGCCCTCCAGGCCCTGTTTTGCTCCTCACAATGCAATCCTAAGCAGAGTTAACCACTCTGTGAAGTCCAGTGAAGCCAACATGTTTAGATAGTTATGACACTGTTTAAGACTGCACTAGTCAGACATACCAGTGCAGAGGTAATGAGAAAACATAACTTTTGGCTCTCTGTTCCCTGCCGTGCATCAGAATGACACCCAAATTACCTTCTTCGTTCATCCTTTCCTGCTGCAGCACATAAGGGCTTGTGCTGCTTTTGACAGCAATTAATTTTGATTGCAGCAAGACCACTTGAGGAACTCTTACTTAACAGTCCTCTGGATGTAGTGATAGCTCACACTGTGCCGAACAACCAGCCTTGATGTCCTTCTGGACCGGCTTGCAGTACTTCCAAAGGATTACCATTTCCTTGTGTGCTTTGCAGCTGATATTCTGGGGAATGGAAATTGGAGTACTGAATAGAAGTCCCCTTTAGGAACATGGTAAATTTATTCTCAAGGTTCAGGACCCTTGCATCTGTGTTCATTTTATTGGATTTGCTACTGTTCCAGCAATAATACAATAATACATCCACCATATGAAAAGCTAAAGACAATAGACAACAAATACATCCAACCTTAGAATGTAAGCAAATTACTTGAAAGATTAATAGCTAGCTGGCTGCCCCAGAAACACTCTACCAAAGGCCCACTGAAATAAAACTGCCTTAAGGAGAGGATGCCCTGTGCACTGCTTCTGGCAACCCATTGAACAAACATTTTGGGAAGGAGCTGTGACTCAGTCCATGCTTCACATACAGAAAGTCTCAAGTTCAAGCCCAGGGATCTCCAGTTAAAGGACTTTAGGTGGCAGGGGTTGGAAAGAGCCTGTCCTCCAGAGATCCTGAAGAGCCACTGTCAGTCATAGGAGGGCCAATAGTCTGGCAGTATAGAGTAGCTTCATTTGCTCAGCAAATGTAACAAACCTCACAGTTCCTCCAATGAAAGGGCATTTCATTGGTGGACAAGAGGCAGTGGTTTCCACTGATTCTATCCTCCAACTGCAGACCCCTATTTTGCCCTCTGTGTTGCTCTCAAGAATCCACTGATTCCTAGAAACAAGATTCCAGGGGGCTCGCCCTATTTTGCCCTCTGTGTTGCTCTCAAGGATCTGTCTGTGCTGCTCTCAAGAATCCAGGGGGCTCAAGTGAGCTGCCTCAGGAAGGGGAGAAGTCCTGCTCTGCAAAGGCTGTGGATAGTTGCATATGTGCCCAGTGTTGGTTGGGGAGGGGCTGTGGCTCATTGGTAGGGCAGCTACTTGGCACACAGAAGGTCCCAGTTTCATTCCCCGGCATTGCCAGTTAAGTGTCTGCCTGAGACCCTGGTGAGCCACTCCCAATCTGAGTGCAAAAAAATGACCTTGAAGGACCAATGGGTCTGATTCAGTATGCAGCAAAGGCAGACCCATGTGCTCGTGTAATAAGGGGATTCTGAGTCAACATAAAGTAAAAGGGCTTATTTTTTGGCTTACAAACATTTGGAAGGCTTAGTAGAATATATATTGGATGCAGATGATAACAAAATAGATTCATGACCCCCCCCCAAAAAAAAACACCCCTTATCCTTTTTCTTTCTATTCAAAATTTACAGATGGCATCTGCTCAAGACTCCAAGTATGGCCAGAAGGACACATCAGATCAGAATTTTGATTACATGTTCAAACTGCTCATCATTGGCAACAGCAGTGTTGGGAAGACCTCCTTCTTGTTTCGTTACGCTGACGATTCTTTTACATCAGCTTTCGTAAGCACCGTCGGGATTGATTTCAAAGTAAAAACAGTTTTCAAAAATGAAAAAAGAATTAAGCTACAGATCTGGGTAAGCTGGAAGTTTTTTTTTTTAAAAAAAAAAGATTCTTGCATAGTGATTATTGGATGATGAATCATCGTATTTAGAATTGCCGACTAAATAGGATGATTAACTAGATTGCTTTTCTTTTTTCTTTTCCTTTCCCTGCTGACATGGCTCGGTCTATATGGCATATATTCTAGATTAGAGAGTTTACATTTGGAGCAGGGAGCTGGTTTGTTTCTCTGCTGAAATGCTGGCATTATTATTGTTACTGCATTGTCCCATTCACACCACCCACATGGTATGAAAATGGCTTTTATTAGAAACCTTGGCCCTATTTTCCTGCCACCAAAAACCAGCAAGTATTTTGTAGCTTTTTTGAAATGTTAAATAGCAGTGTGCTGGACTCCCTGTTCTTTCTTGAATAGCTAGTCTGTAGCTGTAAGTCAGGGGACCAGTTTACCACTGTTCTTTGATAATGGTGGCTGGGTCATATGAGGCATTCATCAACTACTCTCATATGAGGAACAATGGCATACCTGCCCATCTTGTTTACCTGGCACACTTGCCCAGCTTCCACAAAGTGATATTTGAATTGAGCAGGAACATACAATCCAAAGCATGTACTCCCAGACTGTATGGTTAATTTCCTAGATAAAACCCAAGTACTGATCACATGACCTGAGCCTACATCCTTAAGACTGTATGCACACATTTCCAATATGTCTGTTGCTGCTTTATACTGAATCAGACTCTTGGTCCATCAAGGTCAGTATTGTCTACTCAGAGTAGTAGTGGCTCTCCAGGACATCAGAAACAGGTCTTTCACATCACCTGCCATTTGATCCTTTTAGCAGGAGATGCTGGGAATTGTGCCTGAGACCTTCTGCATGTCAGGTAGATGCTCGACCAGTGAGCCACTACCTCTTTCAGATATGAAAACCAATTAAAGTTGCCAGCCATTGTAGTTTTGGGGGGTGGAGACACAGTAAACTGATGTCAGACAATGCTGCAATGTCACTTCCAAGTACATACCAGTAACCAGAGTACGTACCTGGAAGTGACATCATGGCATTGAGTGATGCTCCAGGAATTTCTCAGATCTCTATTGCCCAATGCAGTAGGCTCCCTCTGCTCCACTGAGCAGCAGCAGGAACCCAAGGTCTAGCAGTGAGAGTTTGGGAAATGACATCACAGTTTTCCTGATGTTCTAGTAATCTCCCTAGTGTCTATAGTCTTTACCATGGAGATTGGGGGAATGATCCAGGTGACATCACAGCACCTGCAAAGCTCCCTCTCCCAAAGCCCCACCATCCCAAAGGTCCCAAAGGGTTGGCAACCCAACAAATGAACACACAAATGAAATTCCCAAAGCCCCACCATCCCAAAGGTCCCAGCATTGCCAGGCACAGGTGTGACAACCCAACAAATGAACACACAAGTGAAATGGCTTTGTAATGAATTAGATCATTGGCTATCAAAGTCAGTTTTATCTACTATAGCTAGTAGCAGCTCTCCAGGGTTTCAGACAGAGGCCTTTTGCATCACTTGCTACCTGATCCTTTTAACTGGAGAAGCCAGGGACTGAACATGGCAAAGAACATAAGACCAATGGCCCATCTAGTCCAGCATCCTGTCTCACACAGTGGCCAACCAGTTCCTCTGGAGGGCCAACAACAGGGCATAGAGGCCTCGGCCTTCCTCTGATGTTCTCTCCTGACTCTGGAATTCAGAGGCTTAGTGTGGAGGTTCCCCACAGTCACCATGGCTAGTAGCCATTGATAGACAGCCTACATGAATCTATCGAATCCCCTTTTAAAGCTGTTTATTCTTGTGGCCATCACTACATCCTCTGGCAGCAAATTCCACATGTTAATCACTCTCTGTGTAAAGTAGTATTTCCTTTTGTCAGTCCTGAACCTGCTGCTCATCAGTTTCACTGGATGCTGTTACACCTTTATATGAGTGTTCAGAGATAACTATGCTGAGAGAGCTGGTATACCCTCATTCTTTCCTTACTCACCACCTTATTCCTCTAGCTGCCTGGTTAAAATGTAAAAGCACTCTGCTTTTGGTGCCCCGTCATCTAAGGCTAGGTGGATGTCAACCTGGAAAAGGGCCTTCTTGGTTGTGGCTAGGGATGCCAGCCTCCGAGTGGGGCCTGGGGATCTCCTGGAATTATAGCTCATCTCCAGACTACAGAGATCAACAGGCACCTTGTGAGGTCGGTGGTGGTGAGAGAGTTCTGAGAGAACTATGACTGGCCTGAGGTCACCCAGTGGGCTTCATGCGGAGGAGTTGGGAATCGAACCCGGCTCTCCAGATTACAGTCTGCTATTCTTACCCACCACACCACACCACACCACACACTATACCACGTAGTGTCCCTGTATCAAATTGGCCCCATTTTTTACAACTGATCTTTTATTTACTTGACTGTCACAGTTAGGGTTGCCAAATCGGGCCGGGGGGTGGGGAATCCCCCGCTTCTGAGGCCCAATTTCTGGCGTGGAGGAATTCCGGCCCGGGGGGAACCCCACCCCCGAAGCTGCGTCACCAGAGGTGACGCAGCCACGTCGCCAACGTTGGGGGCGTGGCCGAGCTCGTCGGGGGGAAAACCATATGGTTTTCGCCCCGACGAGCTGGGCCACGCCCCCAACGTCAGCACGTCACACGTCACTTCCGGTGACATGCTGCCGGCGCGCACGCACACACGCACCCCAACGGAGCTCCCGGACCCCAGCTCGGCTCCCCCGCTGCAATGGGTGAGTCGAGTTGGCAACCCTAGTCACAGTATTTGTTTAACAAACCGATTCTTGGTACATATACAGTACTAGCCTAGGCAGAGTTTCTCTATAATAGCTCTACATAGGATTTCTCTTATGTTGAAGGCCTCTTTTGCTTACATCCAGTCTTTAGCTTACATCTGGTGCAACTTAGACCTGGGATGCACTTCCTTATTATGCCTGACTCAAACCCTGCCCTTGAGTCATCTTGAAGGCCCCAGGGAAGAGAGCACATGGGCTTCCTGCTGGTAGGTGGGACAGACAGGAGGAAGGGAGGGAGGAAGAGAGGGAGGGAGAGAGGGAGGAAGGAGACTTAGGAAATGCTTTGCTGATCCCTTCCCCTGTGTGTGGCCACACTAGTTTAGGCCTGGCTCACATCCCTAAGGGTCTTTTTTAAAAAAGCAAAACACAATTCTCTATACTTTTTTTCACTGTGAATACAGAGTTTTTACAAACTCTGAAGGTAATCTTTGCCATCCTTTCACTTTTTTCTTCATAGTGCCAGTTTTTAGCATTGTGTTTTGAGACCACTGACATTACCCTTTTAAAAGAAAGTCCACCCTTTTAAAAACAAACAATATTTCACATGAAAGTAACTTATGACTTTATAACATGGTGCTTGCTCTTCTACATGAAGCCCAGCTACTCCCTTAGAAATTGCAAGGATAACAAGCTGGTTCTTGTTGGTACTTCTTCGTTTTACCACCTTGTAAACTGTCTTCCTTTCCTGGGTATAAAAATGGTTCTAGTGGATAGCATCTAGAATGTACATAATTGATCAAGTCTCATCTTGCAAAGGAGGGTGGCAAAAACCAATTCAGAGCATGATGATATGTTATATTAACGTTTTAGAAGCTGAATTCTGTTTTGTCCCTATGGCCTGCCAAAGAAATGTACTAATCTGTATTCAGAGCTACTGTGATTATTAAATGCACAATCTGGAGCAAAAATCCTATTTCTTTGTAGTTAGCAAAGGGAAACCTGTTCATTTCTTGTGTAAACAGAGTAGGTGATTGCCTGTAACTGAGATTTGATATAGGTGACCAAATGACACCAATCTTTACATCACCACTTCTCCAGCTGGAACCTGCAACACCCTGGGGTTGCAACCTTCTTGGAGTGTGGTGTGGCTTAGTGCTGGAGCACCTGCTTTGTATGCAGAAGTTTCCTGGTTCAGTCTCCAGCATCTCCAGTTAATTGGTTTAGGGAGTAGGTTCTAAAAAGACCTAAATCTGAGACCCCAGAGAACCAGTGCCAGCCAGAGTAAACAGTGCTGATCTTGATAGACCAATGATCTGACTCAGGATAAGGTAGCTCCCCTCCCAACAGAGCAAATAAATGCCCCCTGCACTGTTTTGGGTCAAGAATATGGCACTGGTGGAAGGTAGGAGCCCTTACCCCTCGGTGCCACAGCCCTGATCAGATTCAGTTCCCCACGGCTATTCGAAACAGGAACAGGAAGTGGTGGCAGCTACAAGCATGGACGGCTTCAAAAGGGAATTAGATAGGCATATGGAGCAGAGGTCCATCAGTCGCTATTAGCCACAAGGTATAGATAGGGGCTCTGGGGCAAGTGATGCTCTGTCTTCTTGGTGCTTGGGGGGGCAACAGTGGGAGGGCTTCTAATGTCCTGGCCCCACTGGTGGACCTCCTGATGGCACCTGGTATTTTTGGCCACTGTGTGACAGAGTGTTGGACTAGATGGGCCTTTGGCCTGATCCAACATTAGCGTCTCTTATGTTCTTATGAAATTGAGTTGCCACCAGGAACTCGCAGCTGCAGTATGACTCCACATCCTCATGGCAAACCTGTGTTTTGGCCCTCAGACAGCACCCTAACAGCAGGAAGTCCTCCCCATCAGCACCCGTCCCTGGGAAGCCCTGGGTACAACCCCACAGTTCCCTACTGAAGATGACAGAGCAATCCTAAACAGGTCTACTCAGAAAGCGGCAACGGTATCACCTTAACAAAGGGATACATGTAGGTACCTTGCAGGTAGAGAGACCCTGAGACCAGCAATCCAAATGGTGACTTCTTGGTGTTAAAAGTATCACTGCTTCTAATAGTAAATTGGTTGGTCCCCTGTGGGCAGTGAAAGCTGGAAAAATAGGTCACGTGCATACAAGGTAAATATCTTCCTGTCTGAGAGATTCCCTGAGTGTGCAAAAATATGACTTTGCAAATTAATCAAAAGAAGAAGGAGAAACCCTTAAAAACCAGCCTGATGAGGACCTTGAGAGT